GTCAGTTAGCCATTTGGTGAAATAAAAACCCCAGTGCTTTTCTTTTAATGGGGTCAATGGAATGCATAACCGAATAACTGAACAGTTGGGAACATATTTGCTATAACTTGCTCTGCTGAGTTGTCTCCCTTGGTATGAAAGGCTGCCAGAACTGGCTGATCATGGGTCGGAATACATTCACGAACTGACTTCAGTATTTTTTGCGTTGACGTAAAAAACAGTGCCCTCTGTAGTGCAAAGTGTGCACACCCGTTTTTATGTTATGACTCCATAAACACAAAAACATTGCGGTCAATTCTAATAAGTAAATATGTCAACGATAACTTCAGCTAATTTAGTCATTAAACAAAAGAAAGTTCAGACAACCATTCAAAACCAGTGACACTGTTCAGAGCAATAATGCAACACAAGCCCCGCCCATGCCAATCAGGACATAGTAGTCCATTAGCATGGTTAGTTGGTGAGGCCTATTGTTGTTTTGAGTTTGTGGAAGCAAAAAGAATAGCTTGGCTTGCAAATCAGTTGTCACTTGCAAGTTTTTTATTTTAAGATGTACATGATCAGAGGCCTGTTGACATGAGGTACATACTATTGTGACAGTCCGATGTACAGACACCAGACCTGCCATGGCATTGTGGTCGCTGGTCAGGAGGCTCGGCTCTGTGCTTGAATGATACCACTATGCTTAAAGGCTAAAAATGAGACAAAGCTAAAAATGAAATTATACAGCTAGAATCACTGGCTGTGCTAAAAGTATTTCACTTGACTAGCCCATAATTGGCTCTGAGCATCACTTGCAGTAGATTTATATACGCACTATAATCAGCTGAGCTTACTGGAACCGACCAGACTAGAATATTGCTAGACACAGGTGTCGTCACATACTGCAGTAATTTTCTGGAGACCCAATCATCCAGAATCAAATGCCAAACTAACAAAATTGCTAAAAACATGGTCAGCTGTTTGATCAAACGAAAGGTTAAAATACCATCAATATCAGTTTGTTATATAAAAAGCAAAAATGTAACATGTAACATCTTCAAATGTGACAAATAGAAGTTCATGGCCTCTTCCTTCTCTCCTCCTCCCCCCCCCCCCAATGTGTGCCAACTAATGACAAAACTAACAATCAGTCAAGTGTTACCACAGAGTCTTTATTCTTATCACGATATGCTGCACATGATTTTCAAACTTTACACGCTAATCCTGCACAAGACAAATGGTGCACCTCGCGTCATGGATCTGTGACGTCACATGTGATGTGTTCATGAGCGTTGGTTCACACAACATACCAATATGTTCGTTTGTGAATCAAGCCAATCTAATATCTCTTGAATGTGAGTAATTCTTCATATATTAACCAACAAATATTGTATTCACATTTCTTTTATCAGTGATTGTATATTGACTGAAAGTATCCTATATATTGATTGATAACCAAATTATTTATTCTCTATATGTGTAAAGGTAAAAAATTCTTATTAATCAAATTAATGCTAAATATGAACAAGGCTGATCAATTAAATGTTTAAGAATTTTCTTCCTTCTTATTGTCCATCTTAACTATGGTAATGTTGACAAATTTATTGTTTTTTGTGGCAGTGAATTATTAATATAGTATCACTATCAATACTGGTATCAATACTGTATCGACATTTACAGTTTATTGATTCTGCGATATTGTGATAAGTTGACATCCCGAACTGAATGACAGTACACATAATACAGTCCCTATTAAACAGAGCTAGACATTTGGTTATTTCTTGGTTTCTGTCAAATCATTGGTGGGGAAAAAAGAAGTTTCAGATTAATTTTGTTAATTTTAGAATGTTGCCATGTGCACAGTGTTAGTTGTTTTGTTTAACCTATTGTAACCGATTATCCTGCATATGAACCTAATGTGCATCATTTTTGGGTTGTGAATATGTCAGTTAGCCATTTGGTGAAATAAAAACCCCAGTGCTTTTCTTTTAATGGGGTCAATGGAATGCATAACCGAATAACTGAACAGTTGGGAACATATTTGCTATAACTTGCTCTGCTGAGTTGTCTCCCTTGGTATGAAAGGCTGCCAGAACTGGCTGATCATGGGTCGGAATACATTCACGAACTGACTTCAGTATTTTTTGCGTTGACGTAAAAAACAGTGCCCTCTGTAGTGCAAAGTGTGCACACCCGTTTTTATGTTATGACTCCATAAACACAAAAACATTGCGGTCAATTCTAATAAGTAAATATGTCAACGATAACTTCAGCTAATTTAGTCATTAAACAAAAGAAAGTTCAGACAACCATTCAAAACCAGTGACACTGTTCAGAGCAATAATGCAACACAAGCCCCGCCCATGCCAATCAGGACATAGTAGTCCATTAGCATGGTTAGTTGGTGAGGCCTATTGTTGTTTTGAGTTTGTGGAAGCAAAAAGAATAGCTTGGCTTGCAAATCAGTTGTCACTTGCAAGTTTTTTATTTTAAGATGTACATGATCAGAGGCCTGTTGACATGAGGTACATACTATTGTGACAGTCCGATGTACAGACACCAGACCTGCCATGGCATTGTGGTCGCTGGTCAGGAGGCTCGGCTCTGTGCTTGAATGATACCACTATGCTTAAAGGCTAAAAATGAGACAAAGCTAAAAATGAAATTATACAGCTAGAATCACTGGCTGTGCTAAAAGTATTTCACTTGACTAGCCCATAATTGGCTCTGAGCATCACTTGCAGTAGATTTATATACGCACTATAATCAGCTGAGCTTACTGGAACCGACCAGACTAGAATATTGCTAGACACAGGTGTCGTCACATACTGCAGTAATTTTCTGGAGACCCAATCATCCAGAATCAAATGCCAAACTAACAAAATTGCTAAAAACATGGTCAGCTGTTTGATCAAACGAAAGGTTAAAATACCATCAATATCAGTTTGTTATATAAAAAGCAAAAATGTAACATGTAACATCTTCAAATGTGACAAATAGAAGTTCATGGCCTCTTCCTTCTCTCCTCCTCCCCCCCCCCCCCCCCCCCCCCCCATCACGTCTCCCAAACTTGTCCCAGCTGTAAGATGACCTTGGTCACACTTGAAACAACAGTAATGCCCCTTTTCACTAGATGATCTTTCATTCTGACTGCCTTAGCTACCATACTTTAACATTGTCATTGTGATAAGATGGCTTTAAAAAACAAGGTCCTCTCTGTTTTCTGAAGATTGTTTATCCTTAGTAGATTTGTATTTTGTACGCCCCTTCCTGATTTTCTAATGAATTTGTTTTTGTCATTTTCGTCCATTCTTTGTTGAAACTAAACAAGTCAGTGTCCTGCAATCCATTCAAAGCATCACCTACTGGGCCGTCTTGTAAACATTAATATGTCAGTGTTTCAGTGAAGATTGTAGAATGGAATTAGAAGATCATGGGTGATCTAAAGTTAATAACTCACATGGGGTTTGTGCTCTTCTTGACGTCATAATTGTGAGCCGTCTTGTTACACGTTGGAGCTATTTCCGTGATGCTGAAGGTTAGCAGTTGGATGGGGTGGCACAACACAAGACTTTGTAGTCTGAACCTGTATATTTCTTGTCATGCCCTGTGATCAGTTGTTATATATAGTTCATTGTATACCCACTCATTTAGGGATGGTATTTAGTATTAAGTATTTTAAGACAGATAATTTTTCTGCGGTGTTGTGTTGGACAAACATTTCTGAAGGAAAGTCATTTTGAATCTCTCACATAATGTCTGAAGCAGCAAGATGCTATACACGTTATGAACTACAAAAGTTCTACTTGGTTAATTCTGACGATGGACTGATGGATTTTTGTTCTTCTAACAGGCTGTGAAATTAATGTAAATCTGCAAGTCCTAGACTAGTAAAGTTCAAGTGAAAAGTCCTTGTGGACTATCACGTTTACCATCAGGTAGATGACACCTCTGTAGCGGATCATTTTTGTGGATTAGTGAAAATAGAAATTAATTTCTAACTGTGCCTAAATATTGGTCATTGGTCCACTGTACACATGGTACCCAGAAACACTACAGGTACATAGAACTGACCAGATGGGACAATGGTACGCTGTAAGCCCCCAAACTGCAGCCAGGCATCCTTCAAGTGTCCATGAACCATGTTTTATACTGTGAAAGGTATTTACTGTTACTGTTAATCAATATGTAATGTCATCAGCAGAGAATGCTGAAACAGATGACATTGGGTGTAAGTGGCAAAATAGTGGTGACAATTATATGAATGGATTCCTGAAAATCAGTGTTGACACCAGGCGTCTGATTGTGTTAAAAAAATCCAGACAAATACTGTTTGGAATTTTGTATTTAATTGCAAGTGAAAGGACATTACTGCATTTGCCAGAAAACTTGTAAGACTGTCTTTCTTGATTTGGAAATATGACCGGCACAATCATGACCCTGGATATATAACAGACACTCCTTGTACTATCATCATCTTAATATTGCCCACAGACATACATTTTAAATATGTTCATGAACTGCTTCCAAGTGTTAGGAGAATATTTTTCAAATCTCTATGTATTCAAGATTCCTTTTGACTGAAAGCACTTTTGATATATAGTGGTTCATTGCATCCAACATGTCCAAGCAGAAAGCTGTACATACTTTTGATAATGGTCAACTTATGCATGATGCTGTCACATGTGTGAGCAGCTGCTGCCAGTGTTAATATTGCCATTATCTGTGGCATGATTGATCTCCCTCTGCATAGAATACTTGCGCAAGTACACATGTAGGGCCCAAAATACTCTGAATCTCTATAAGCAGACGTGCTGGTCCTTCTTGGTAAAAGGACGACCTTATTATGTGGTCTTGGGTTCAACATAACATTAGATGGTAATGGGTTTCGGGACAAGTTGTAAAGATGCTTGTTTGGAAGAAGTAGATGCAGTTGTACTTGAGATTGTCGCCATCCACTCTTTCGGGACTATTATAAGATTTTGCTGCTATCTTTACTCTCTTTTGCTTGTTTTCAGGAGTCTGCCATGATAGCCATGGACCATCTTACTTGATATCTTCAGGTGAGTTGCTATGTGTCCTCTTATGTTTCACCTCTTTAACCCCTTGGGGATTCAAGGTTAGAATAGGTCCCCAACAACCTAATCTGGTCGTTAGAGGAGACTCAAAGAATCTGATGATGAGGCTCGGTGACTTCGTTGATAGCGTTTATCATCATATCCCAGCGGCGTGGATTGTTGCTCACAATATCAGTCACTCGAATGTCTGATCCTAACTTGATTATTGTACAGACCGCTGTCAAATAGCTGGAACATTGCTGAGTATGGCGTTAAACTAACCATACACACACACACATTGTGAGCTTGTTCAGTGATCCCTCGCTACAATGCTACCTTCGGGGTCCAAATAATTGATGAGCTTTATATATAGATGATTAGCGGTTTAACGAAGGTTGAGTCATAGCTGGTAGATGACCAACAAAACAGTATACATGCTCTGCCTACCTAACACAATCTATGTTGTACGTTTCAGAGTTTACAAAAAGATTAGAATAGAAGTTGTTTATGATTCATTGTGTAAAAAAGTATTAATATGCCGTTTCAGAAAAAAACACATCTTGTCCCTTCAGCGAATTCAGGTGAATAAACAGGAATAACAAACTTGGTCAATAAAATTATTAAATTTGATATAAAACATCACTAAACATGATGATTTACCATTTAAAGTGTACTTCCTGCTCTCCAAGGCATTGTTTTTTAGAGATTAAGATTACTGTGTGTATTTTCTCGTAAACTAAGCCGGAAATAGCAATCAGCTGTGCACACGTTTCCTCCCAATCTACCAGTGATTCAGTTAAAAAGTACCCAATGATACAACTTCAAAGAATTTTGATGTAATGGTCGGAGGAAATTGGTATTTTATCAGGAATAATATATTCAATGTCGTGTTATATTAGTTGCAGCTACCAATATATACTTGAAATAATAAGAACCATAAGTACAGGTGCATATAGGCATGATAGGTGGTGTGCAGGATATTTTTTCACTCAGGGAACAGTTTTGACCAGTCACTGTAGGGACTTCCTGCGCTACATGTATTTCGATTGTGAAAACGTTATGTTGACAGTTAATAGTCAAACTGCCTGAATATGACTTTTAGCGAGTCATGGTACGGCATTTATGATATGTGTATCCACGCTCTTGCAACTTAAGTTCATTTCAATAGGCATCAATAGTGGTAATCTGACCGATGTTGCTGTAAATAACGGTGAGTTGTGTGATCTACTGATCACTTCGCATACGATTTCGCCGAAATTATTGTAAACATTATTATAATTATTGAATGAAATTTTGAATATAATTAATAAGATATATTGCAAACATTAGTACTTCAGTTCAGAATTGTTGACTCGTATTTCCGGTGTTGCATGATCGTGTTGATCAGTTGATAATGTTTTCTGAGATGGGGGAAAACATTGTGTCATTGGAAAACTTGAGTTAATTAAAAATGTTAATAAATTTTTGGAGCCATGCTTTACCGTGTGCTATAACGAGTTAGTGCTTTTTTGAAGAGTGCAATAGCAAGGGAACACTTAGACTAACATTTAGTCTCTGAAATCTTATATTACACAATATCCTTCTTGACTCTAAAAATAAAAAAATTCCCTATGCTGATGTGGAATAGAGCTAGCTTGAGCTGGCTAGACTTGCTTTTGTATGCATTTCTAGATTATTATTTTTTCATAAAATAAATATATTCCACGGTCATGGTGCAGGACTAGGGAACACTGTATCATTGCTCTTGGTAAATGGTCCGTCCTTGAGTCAGTTAGCACTGATCTGAAAGCTTTTCTCCTTCAAAACTTTTGAACATATCTGAATCATCTTCTCAGAACATTTTTCATTTTCACTCTGGCTACCGGGGCGGTCGGGTAGCCTAGTGGTTAAAGCGTTCGCTCGTCACGCCGAAGACCCGGGTTTGATTCCCGACATGGGTACAATGTGTGAAGCCCATTTCTGGTGTCCCCCGCCGTGATATTGCTGGAATATTGCTAAAAGCGGCGTAAAACCATACTCACTCACTCACTCACTCACTCTGGCTACCGGAAAGGAGACTTTTGCCCACTTTTGTGATTTTGGCAGAACCATTACAATATTTTACGTTATGTTGACAGTTAATAGTCAAACTGCCTGAATATGACTTTTAGCGAGTCATGGTACGGCATTTATGATATGTGTATCCACGCTCTTGCAACTTAAGTTCATTTCAATAGGCATCAATAGTGGTAATCTGACCGATGTTGCTGTAAATAACGGTGAGTTGTGTGATCTACTGATCACTTCGCATACGATTTCGCCGAAATTATTGTAAACATTATTATAATTATTGAATGAAATTTTGAATATAATTAATAAGATATATTGCAAACATTAGTACTTCAGTTCAGAATTGTTGACTCGTATTTCCGGTGTTGCATGATCGTGTTGATCAGTTGATAATGTTTTCTGAGATGGGGGAAAACATTGTGTCATTGGAAAACTTGAGTTAATTAAAAATGTTAATAAATTTTTGGAGCCATGCTTTACCGTGTGCTATAACGAGTTAGTGCTTTTTTGAAGAGTGCAATAGCAAGGGAACACTTAGACTAACATTTAGTCTCTGAAATCTTATATTACACAATATCCTTCTTGACTCTAAAAATAAAAAAATTCCCTATGCTGATGTGGAATAGAGCTAGCTTGAGCTGGCTAGACTTGCTTTTGTATGCATTTCTAGATTATTATTTTTTCATAAAATAAATATATTCCACGGTCATGGTGCAGGACTAGGGAACACTGTATCATTGCTCTTGGTAAATGGTCCGTCCTTGAGTCAGTTAGCACTGATCTGAAAGCTTTTCTCCTTCAAAACTTTTGAACATATCTGAATCATCTTCTCAGAACATTTTTCATTTTCACTCTGGCTACCGGGGCGGTCGGGTAGCCTAGTGGTTAAAGCGTTCGCTCGTCACGCCGAAGACCCGGGTTTGATTCCCGACATGGGTACAATGTGTGAAGCCCATTTCTGGTGTCCCCCGCCGTGATATTGCTGGAATATTGCTAAAAGCGGCGTAAAACCATACTCACTCACTCACTCACTCACTCTGGCTACCGGAAAGGAGACTTTTGCCCACTTTTGTGATTTTGGCAGAACCATTACAATATTTTGAATAAGATTCTGCCAGAACAATTAACATGATTAAGTGGAATATATTTCATTTATTGTAAAATGTATCATCAGTAATTTAGAGTAGCTTTTGACCTTGGGCCAGCTACTTAATAATCAGTTAATGAGCACTTTTTATCACCCCGTTTTGAAAAACGGGGAAAAATATTTTCGCGTCTGCCTGTCTGTCTGTCTGTCCGTCCATCAGCCGTCTCCTAAACTGTTGAATATTTCTTGTTGAAACATTCTATACAGATCAGTCTGGTGGTGAACTGGTACATTATGATGATTTGGGATTTTTAAGACTTTTTTCATGACGACAAGGTAGACGGACATACTGAAAACAAGGGTACTGCTCATTTCCGGAGCAGAACTCCAAAACCGTTAATTATTTCTTGATGAAACTTGGTATACAGATCAGTCTGGTGGTAAACTGGTGCTTTTTGATAATTAGGGATTTTAGTTTTTTTAGTTGTTTTTTTTAATTTCCTGACAGACAAGTTGGGCTTTACTGAAAATGAGGGTAGAACTTATTTCCGGAGAAGAGCTCCAAAACTGTTGAATATTTCTGGATGAAACTGAAAAGACCAGTTTAGTGGTGGACTGGTGTCTTTTGATGATTTTGCATGTTGAAAAGTACTAGACAGCATTATGTTTTTCTTCACTGAATTGAAGGTATTCAATGGCAATGAACCAAAAGTGGGGTATTAGTAGCCAAACTCCATTTCCAAGTTGCACCAGACCAGGGGCTTTTAAGCTTGTGATGGGAAGGTTTACAGAGTTTGAAATGCTTGTGTGATACAATTAGAGGCAGTAGCTACCATCCAGCCAATCATGCTGGTAGTGGTTACTAATGTTTGGGGAAACTTGCTCACTTTGGATTCCAGTCATCTCAGATATTCTTTATTACCTCAGATGATATTTCATCTCTGAATATTGTGATGGTCAAGGTTGCTAGAATAGAAAAAGGAAATAATCATGATTAATGTTGAAAATGACTTAAATGTTATTATACATATATGTAAGAACATCTTGATGTATTACTTCATTTATCATTGGTTATGGGAGCGATGGGGCAGCCTAATGGTTAAAGTGTTGGCTCATCATGCCGAAGACTCGGGTTCAATTCCCCACATGGATACAATGTGGGAAGCCCATTTTCCGGTGTCCCCTGCCGTGATATTGCTGGAATATTGCTAAAAGCCGCATAAAACTCACTCACTACTTCATTTATGAAATTCAGTTATTGATGTACCGTATATGCAATTTATTTTTGATCAAAACTTAACTGATTTCATTCTTTCTCTTTCATGAAAATGCAGATATTTCTTCTGCGTTGTGTTAATGTGTATGTTATAACATCTTGTAATGCAAGTGCTTCATTTGAATAATTCAATTCAAAATCCATTAATCATCTAAAATTATAAACTAGTTTTGAATTGAAACATGTGAAAACATAGTAACATGGCAAAGAAACAGCCTTGATATCAGTGTGAACTTTACATTAAGAACCAGCTGACCAGTAATGTTCTCACAGTGAAATCTCTGAGTCAGACAGGGCCACATTTCACAAAGCGATCATTGTGCAACGACTGTCATAACACCCATACTTCAACTTAGGCTTACAGAAGTCGTATATGACCTTTAATATGATCATTCTGTGAAATATGGCCCTGTCTGTGGCCCAGTTGTGCAATGTTTACAGTTGGTTTCACTGCTCCCTGTGCACAGCCTACAGTCTCTCTGTCTGCCTGCAGCTCCTTTCACCACCTCCCATTAACTATACTAACTACCCAACAGATCATCAACTCAATAACCATAAGGAGAATATCGCAGATCTACGTTCTCACTCCATTAT